TAAAACCACCATAACCATCCAAACAAGCAACATGGGCCTAAATCCTCTTAGGCTTTTTCTTAGCATACTGACCCCTACATATGGGCAAAATATAAGCAAAATCGGCGTGAATCACTTGAAACGGTTCCCTCGTTAGATCATTTTTATCTTGAAACGAGACTTTTGACGATCACTGTGTGTCATACTTCAACTGACATTCCTATTTAGTTTTGTACAATCTGATATATGTATTGATCCAGAAATACTTAGTTCAAATATTTTCTTTTTTATTAGTGTTTGGTTGGTTTTGTTTTACATCTCATTCGTGACATGTTCATAGACTGCTCAAGAAAAACAAACCCATGAAACAAGCAAAAAAAAAATACAATCAACCCAAAAAATGCAAACATATGGAGATACAAATAAATACACAGGAATAATTAAGAGAAAAAAGAAAGAAGATTCACAGCGATGCTTTTTATTTCTCTTTTTTTCTTCTTGCTTTAAAGGTTATCTTTGATCGCCAAAATAGTGGACAAATGTAGGATAAATTGAAACGAAACAAAAAAAGGAATACATCATTCATGAAAACAATATGAATAAGAAGCGAAAAAAAAAAGAAGAATTGCATTATCTTTTGTTTTACATAGTTTTTAATGCAGTACGTGTCCGTTTATAATAGCGTTGTGCTAATGAATTAATAATTGATGCAATAAAATACATAATCATTCCAGCAACAAATATATTAAAAATTCTTGTTAATGTTGAAATTTTTGTTACATGACCAGTTAAATTTTCTCCTGGTTTTCTATGCATTTTACCTTTTTGTTCAAGCAGCCAATCTTTAAATGGTGTTTGTAATAATTTTCCATAATATGGTATATGTTTCATCCAACGTATAATGCGTTCAACATGATGTTCACTGAATAAAAATATAATAAATACTGTTTGAATGCTCATTTTAATCAATGCTTTTCCAATGATAGTTGCTAAAAAGAATGTCCAAAATGATATAAGAAAATAACCACATGTTATACCAGCTAAATCAAATAATGGATTTGGAATGCTTGCACATAAAAGTATACCTAGAAAGCCTATACGTTTTATAAGACGATAAATTAAATAACGAGAACGTTCAAATAATGTTAAATTTCTTGAATTATGCAATTCAGCATTAAGTACTAATGCTTCAAATTCAATTAATTCTTCATCATCATTACTATCACTTGTACCTAAACGAGCTGCACGTGCCATAAAATATGGTGGTAATTCACCAAATGCTGTACCTAAACCCCAAAAAAATGCTTCTAATTTAACTTTCCATAAAATTTTCCAAAATGATATTGGTCCTGTTTCTAATAAATCATTTAAAATTGTTTCATTATCATTTGTTATTATATTTGCTGTTGTTGTACTTGTTGTTGCTGGGCAAACAATTTCATTTGGATATGGTGGACGAGGAAATTTAATTGAACCACACTCATATGCTGCTAATGTAACTTGAGCAATGAATGGGCCAAGATAAAGAAGAAATGTATGTAAACCTGTACCAAGTCCAACAGATGATGCTACGCCGAGACCAAACCAATATAATGACCAAAAAAATAAATTTTCAATTCTTTCAATACTTGGTTGATGTGAACCTTCAGTATTATACATAAATATAAGAAATAGAGATAGAATAATTGATATAAATAAAGTTTTCCGATATGATACGAGACGTTTAAAATTATGATGAAAAAGATAAATTAATTCAAGTATGCAATAATTTATTGTACGTATTGGATGTCTCCATAAAACAATTTTCTCTGCTTCATGACGTAACATTTCTTGTTGCGACTTTTTAATTGCTAATAGATGTTCTTTTTCTACAAGATTTTTAGATGATGATGTTAATTTACTAAAATAAAAGTCAATTATTGAGATTAAAAACAAGAAACAAGATAATTTAATTTAACTTACGAATTTGTTATTGCAGATGATTTTTGTTGTTTTCCTTTGCGTCGGCGACTTGTTGACGACGAAGGCATTGTTGAATGTGACTCGATACCTGCTTTGAAATTCATTCATAAGAATATATTGTTTTAATAATATAAATCATTTATTTAATCCAGTGAAAGTTGTAGAAAAAAAGAAACAAAACAACGTAACTATGCTTCGATTAAATGAACAACAATATGTAATCTATGAGAATGGAAAAAAAAACAAACAGTTTAGTGTTTGGTAGTACCGATGTTAGGTATATTTAGCGTAATCGATTGTACTATCCAAGAACCTATTTAGTGATTTTTTTTATGAGCTCAGCAACATTCAAATTAGTAGGCGTTAGAAATCGCTGTTCTATTGACTCGAGACCTACAACGCGCAATGAACACTTGAGATTTAATCCAATAGCGACCGAATGATCGTATTATTTTCAAAGAAATATAAAAAATCAATTAATTTCCTATGTATTGGACTAAATTACGCAAAAAGAAAGAATACTGCATAATTCGACTAGATTCATGCAATTCATTAGTTTATTGTCAATATCGAAATAATGTAAAGGTCATTTAGTTGATCCTCTTTCTTTTTAGCTAATTCAAAACAAATGCTAACAATTATTTGTACTGACATCTAATTACGGCTAGTTTTAACTCTCAATTGTTCGAAATCGATATAGTTACTCTCGAAAAACGTAAAGTTACAATGTTTAAATTAGCATTAATTTCATAACTGTTAGCTTCGAAAAGAAAGTCACATCGAAAGAAAATTAGCTACATATAATCTGATCTCACTTAAAGTAATAATAGGTCAAAAATTATATTTCGAATGTTATTGAGAAAGGTTGGTGAGAATCAAAGCTTAACAATTACTCCTAACAAATTCTTGCCACGTCTTCGTTGAATTTGAATAAGCATTTAATATTTTTTTCTTTGAATAAATCTAAAATAATAACACGTATAATAGAAACTACTCATGTAATAAGACATATAACTATTTCTGTAAATCTACATTGTTAACTTTCTAAATTGATATTGATCAATAAAACCAATTAAAAAAAAACACCAAAAGTAGCAAAACGCGTCATACAATTTATTGGCTAGAAAAGCAAATATCGAAGTGTTTTTATGTAGCAAACAAATTCACGTGTGGTTGAACGAATTCACCAGTTAAATATTCGACTAATAGTCATTAGAATTTTATTTTAATGAAAAAGAAAATTCAACAATAAGACATATAAAATAAATCATTCAAATTAAAAATAAAAAGTTCTTTTTTATTTTTTTTTTCGTTTATTTATTTCTCGATTGCCATCTATCGTTAAACTACAATGGATATGTCAATTCACCATACTGAATTCATTACAGATAATATTCTCGGCATCATGCATAAAAGAAAACAAGAGATTCAACATATTACTCATCGTTTTTATTATCTAAAATATTATCTGTCACTGTAAAAACCTTCATTAATCAACCATGGGGCAGAAAAAAAGAAAAACGTGCACTGATGCATAACCAGTACTTTGACCATAAATATATTTATTATCATTATATAAATGTAACCGGGAATAAATATGAAATTCTCTATAAATACTGAAGACTTTTCATCAAGATTTGTTGTTCTTGATGATGAAGGTTTAGAACGTTATTCAGTTAAAAATGGAATGGATTCAGTTATGGAAAATTAACAATATTTGATCTTGGTATATATTATATTTATTTAATTATGTTATTATAGATAATTATTTGTTTTTCTTTTTCTTTTTAGCTGATAATGTTGAATGTACAGTCGAAAAATTTTTTTTTACATTACGCCCAACATATGCTGTTTATAATAGATATCAACAATTAGTTTTAAATATACGTAAAAAATTAAATTTATTACATCCATAATTTATAATTGTATCTGAACTTGATGAAGTTAAATTTCATACTGTTGGAGACTATTTTGGTTCACATTTTTCAATAACAAGTAATGATGAACAAGAAATTATAGCGAAAATCACACGTAATAATGGTTATACGATTGAAATCTTCAATGAAAAAAATGATGTTTCAGCTTTAATTGCTATTGTTATTATAATACATTTATGTTGTCATTATACGAAGGATGAATAAAAATAAAAATTTATTATTTTAGATAATTATGTCATTTTCGGAAGAATCAATTAAATTTGCTCGAGATCAAGTTCAATGGTTACTTGAAAATCAATGTCGAATTCCAATTCGTTCAATAACACCAATTAGTTTTTATTATAAAACATCAGATACTTTAATTGATGAAGCTGATTATTATTATAGAAATAATCAATTAGAACAAAGTTTTATTCTTTATTCAAGATATATTACGTATGCTTAATAAAATAATCAGAAATTTTAAATGAATACATTTTTATTTTTAGATTATTTGTAGAAGAACTTAAATTGCATCATCCAGGTTATGCGACTGTATCTGTAAATGATCGTGAACGTGTTAAAGAAGTAAACTTTAACTTTTGGCTTTTTTCGTTATCCTTTTTTTTTTTGGGACATAATTATTAATAGATTATTCGATCAAAAGCTTTACCTCGTGCAGAAGAATTAAAAGAAAAATTAAAAGAAAAATATGCACATGAATATGAAGCAAAACAAGTATTTAGAGAAAAAAAAAGAAGAAATTTTGGTTTGATATTGCTGATTACTTTTTTTTTGTCATAGAAAGCAATACAAGAAGAAGAAAGCGTGAAAATTTCAGCTGCAACATCAAATAAGCCACAGACTACTAAGTAAGAATAACTTGATTTCGTTATAAGTAATAGATTTAAATAATGAATAAATAGATTTCATTTAAAAAAGAAAAAACAACATCGAACTTTTTTTCCTCTTTGATAGTTGAAACTATTACATTTATATATTTTAGAATTATTTAAGAATTCTATTAATTTTTTTTCTTTCGAAATGAAATATATATACTTGTAATTAATCATCATTCTTTATATAAATTGTTAGTATGTGAACGAACACAAAAAATACTATCTAATTAAAAAATAGTAGCAGCGTTTGCATTATTTACTTGAAATAATCTTTAGTTAAAAACATATTGTTTTAACGGAGATATGTACTGCTTGGTTGACTTTTAAATTTATCTTAAGGATACACATAGATTTCTTTGAGGCAAGGAGCCGTTCAAAATATTAAACTCTAAGGAACTTCCTTCCGGGACTTTAATTATTATACAGGGTGTCCTGATGAGAAAGGAACTAATTACTTTAAATAAATGTACCAATTACTTGATATCTTTTTAAAATATGTCGTGCAAATATTTATGAAAAAGGAGAAGGATAGTTGAATGGTGAAAAGTCCAGAATAGACTTGGAACCGATCGAGTTTTTTTCGACCGGGCCGGACCGACCGGTTGAAATTCTTGATCTAACCGGTAAAAAACAGGGAAGACAAAATAAGCTAGAAAGGTCGGTTTTTATGCTAGACACCATATTTTAGGCATTTTAATATCTGCGGATTTTTACAGTTGCACGAGACTAGTAGTTGATATAACGCTTACAATAATAGGAGATATTTTTTAATATTCACATAATGAAAGCATGAAATAACAGCAACTAACTATTGGTAGTTTCTGACAACCAGTAACAAATAGTCTAGAAAAGTGAGTTCGAAATTTCGAACAGGAAAATCTTTAGTTCAAACTATATTTAGCTTCTGGTCGGTTGTTAACTTTTCATGATCGTATTAAATCCATTCAGTGTAATCTGAGGTCTCCACCATACGATGAGAAAGTGAGATGTTCAAAATTTTGAGCTGGACGTTTAATGACAACTATAAATTTGTCAGTTAAAAACGTTTAGACTCATATCTGCGGATCTTTGAAGCCATGAAAATCAATAAAAACGAGCAAAATATACTAATTTAGTTTTCGTGCCCTGAAATTTGATAAAAAAAAACGGTGAAACTGGCCTACACCGGCTTTTGCCGATCTTAAAAGTTCAACCGGACCTGACCGGAAACCGGCAAACCGGCCGGTCCGGTTCCAAGTATGGGCCAGAATAACGGAAAATATAGAAAGAATTTATCAGAAAGTCTTGCCTTTTGTTTTTTTTAAAGCTTCAGTTCTCAAAAGTATTTATAAACATCAAATTTATGAATAAAATCTTGCAAGTCTTCTCTATTACCAGAAAAAAGTCTCTTGATTTAGTTTAATCGTAATGGAAATGTATAGTTTCCTTTTTAGTAGATGACTTTCCAAACATCCTGTAAGCTATATGGCATTTTCGAAGAAATCGAAGAAAACAATTTTGATCTGAAACTTCATTTATAGTTGAGTCTAATTACCTTGTTTGTAAGTTTTAAGCATAACAAAAGTTTCTTCTGTGAAATATTGATTTTCCAAGAAAATCTGTACGTGTTGTAGAGAAACTACTTTACTAAATAGTTTTAAAACTCGAGAAAGTATCAGTTATCTTTTATGTAAGTTTTGAAAAATGCTTAATACCAATTAAATCACTACAATGATGAGGTTTAAGATCATAATTTTTTCTTCAAATTTTTCTTCTGATTTACATGGTACCTGTGTCATACTATCTAAAACTATCATAATGCTGGAAAGAATATTTATCAGCTTATTTCATTTTTTTTTTCACATTTTTTGCTGAGACGTTGGAGAATGAAGTAATAATTTAGCACTTTCCTTCATTTAGTCTCAAATATTTTTCTACTTGGAAGCTCAAATACAGGATGTTGATTGAAGATGTTCAGAGTTGAAACTACGAGAAAAAACTTGTTCCAAGGGAAATTAAAGATTCCAGTTAAATATTATATGATTTTAAGAAAATTATCTTGCAAATCAATTTCATCAGAGTACAATTCAGGAAATATGGCCGAAAAAAGTGCTAGTTGCTAATTAAATAAATAAATAAAAAAAACAAATATTGAAGGATTTTTCTAGATGTGATACGAATAAATTCTGGAATAGTTTTCTCGAGACTGGGACCAAAAACATTTGAATCCGTGCATATCTAATATTAACACCTTCAGTCACATAATTTTTTGTA